AAATTAACACAAAAGTCTTCTTTTGGCTTAGTGGCTCATTTTACAATAGCATGAGTCTCTTGCTTTTACGTGCCTTCACGTTCTCCTATATGGCCAGAATGTCAGATCAGAACTATCTGAGATGCATTTTGAGCTCTAGTTAACCTATCAAAATATCTTTTCTATAGCAATTGCAGACAGTAAAGATGTTTATACTGGGGTTTAAAATGCTTTAAATAGTAAAAGTGAACATGTTGCTGCTGCTGCTAATGTTGAGTTGATTAAACACCTTTTTCTCAGTTGATTTTGTCTTTTATTGAAAGATTGGCTTTGTTAGAAAACCTTTCTGCATATTCAATCACCTGTTTTTTTTCCTGAAATACTTGTGGAATAGCCTTTGCATATATAGGGTCTACATGGGATTGCTTCCTGTGAACTAAAAGTCATGAATGATTTTCCAATTAAAGGAGAACTTTACTACTTACTAAACACTTCCAAATGAAAATCTATTCTTGTGTGGCTCCAAAATGGCAGCCTACTAAATACAAGTGAATGTTTCTTTATCTGTGTCGAGATGCATGGGGGGGGGGAGGGAACCCCTCACAAGTTCAAACAAGACCATCTGTTTTCATTTGTAAGAAAACTGAAACATAATGGCACAGGGATGATGGCCAGTGTCCCTTTCAGCAGCTCTGTGCTGTTCTCTGATCACTCTGCCTTCAGTGTGTCTTTCAAGATGTTTGATGGTTCCCACAAAATGATGTACATGTAATACTGGAAGCTTGAGTTTTACTCTTAAATTTCTTACAGCCATTTTGTTTGCTAAGTAGGGTTGCAAATATAATGCATCTATTCATTGGACTCACCAGAAGAAATGTGTTAATCAGGGCAAATAAAACAGCAGTTAAGCTGTTATGTATTTTAGTGGGACATGGAGCAAATGTTTCACGTTATAAAGCATATCTCATTGGAACCTAACATTATTTTAAATGGATGACAAACACAAGATTGTCTACCTGGATTTGCTTTGTATGTTGGTAAGAAGCGAGGTCTTTCAAGAACCAAGCAAAGCCATAGATTTTAGTAGAGTGGAAAAGGTTTGCTAAGGGAAACTGAATGGAGTACAGTGTTTTCAATAAAACAAATTGAACAGATTCTATAGAAATCTAGGTCACAGTAACAGATGACCTATACATGGTCCTAATTTTTGATGCAACTGTCTAATCTGCTCAGAGCACTAGCCAGACATCATTCCTAATTGACCTTGATATTCACTGAACAGAAAAAGCTACAGCCACATGATAGTTGAATCTTCACCAGCAAAAAGAATCTATGGAAACCTGTGCATCAGATTACACAACTAGAATCTAGATTTTTCTGGGATGAATCTTGCCTACAAATCTGTTCGCATGCCACCATACTAAAGAGACTCCCTTTAGAAAAACACAAAGCTGAAGAGGTGGGTTAAATAGAAAATAGCTTGTTGAAAACTCACCTGCTGTACCTACCCATTATTATACATACGTATGTGTATGTACGTTTGTGTTCTCTCTCTCTAATTGCATCATGAGATACTGCTATGCTGGACTCTAAACAGCAGACGGAATGCTTGCACAAAGCCCGAGGCTTAGGGTTTGTCCGCCCTGTTACACTAGCTCAGGCACTGACTCAGGTTTGAGCCCAAATTCCCCCTTCCATCCAGACACACACTTCGGTCTGATCCGGGTCAGCAAGCCATCTGGTACCCAGGTCCTTGGACTCTGCTAGCAATGGGTGGCTCGGAGCCTAAACTCAGGTCAAGCCACAGTCCTGCTTTCAGAAGTCTACACAGTGCCATATGGACATGTTAGCACGGCTGTTTGACCCAGGTCCAACAATTGTAAACACAGCTTTACAATGTAGTGTGGCTGCTCAAGCACCGGCTTGGAAACACTTGGTACGTCTCTGCTGTATTGTAAAGCCCATCGCAGAAAATTTGAGCCTGGACCTACTAACTCAGACCCATAGGACTCCTGCTACAGTGCTAAAAACAGCAGCGTACAAATCGCTGTTCAGGCTAGAGCTCAGCCTCTGAAACCCATTCCCATCCCCCGGCTGCAGCGCCCAAGCCAAATCTCGGTGTAAACTCGAAGGCTCGTCTCTCTCATCAACAGAAGTTAGTTCAGTAAAAGATTGCCTCACCCAGCTTCTCTTCTATGTCCTCTGAGTGAGATCTGACATGAGGTAGTAAGTAATTAGGGAAATTACTGAATGATTTCTGCAGCCTTTGAAATGGATCTGTTTCATATAGAAGTGGCTTGTCTTAAGTGAAGCCTGGAGGAATAACTTGGGAAAACGACATGGCAAGATACCTATTCTGAGGAATCTTAGATTGGTTAGTTCCAATTTACAGATCAAGAACTGATGGATGGGGAAAAAAGGAAAACTTCAAATGGGCAATCAATTGGTTTAGCTGACATATGCTACCTTGCTGACTGCCACGATGTCTTTGCAAAATGAACAAGCTAGTCGTTTGGGATGTTCATCATGGTTGGTGAGCACGTTTGCCCTCAAAGGACATAGCTGATGTCCTGCAGTTTACAATAACTAGTCATTGAGTCGTATGGAGGAGCCTATCTTAAGTAAACGCTAGCAGCAAATAAGGAGGCATCTTAGTGGAGTGCGTGCAGCTCTGTGCCCATTCTTCTAATCATACCTTCCACTGAACATACCGTTGCCCTCAATCATGGTTGGGCATTTCATCTCAGACAGTGTGGAGTCTGCGTGTAACGTGGCAGTTAACCTTACATCTAAATAGTGTGGTACTGCAAAACCCAGCTGTGTACAACTGTAACACACCTAGTTTTCTTGATGGTCGGTCTCCTTCAATGCCAGCCCATTAGGATTGTGCAACTTATTATATTTCTATTCTCAGAACATGTTTAGCATAATATCAGTCAACTTATATTTTTGGATGTGCAGATTGTACAGTTAATTGTTTTCCAGAAGAAGGGTGCGGGGGCATCTTTATCTTAAAACTAAGACACAGATCTAGTTCATACAAAACCTGCACTTCTTCACCTTCGTATTTATTCAACGTACATTTATTCTATTGTATTTGTTTGCTATCATCAGCTGTCCTGGACTGTAAAGACCATTTCAGGCCAGCACGTGAGATGGGGAGAATAGCCAAAATCTGTTTCACAACTTTTCATCAAATCCATACCTCAGGGCTGCATCACAGGGCAGGACATGTCTTTGATAAGTTCTTTCTAGTAGACCAATATCCAATTGCTATTTTGGAAATTGCTTTCTTAATACTTGAAATATTTCAGTTATATAATAGCCAATATTCTTAATGTGCCTTTGAAAGACTTAGATGTATACATCGATCGATTGCTGCTGAGATAAATAAGTCTTAAGTAAAAGCCACACTTTATTTTTTCTAAATGATCAAAATGTATTATTGTGTCTAGACTTTGGAGTTGTCTGCATTTGTCTCAGCAAACAAACCTCCAAACAACATTTTGTATAAAAATACGATTTTGCCTTTTTGATATTATGCAGCTGTTCCATTTTCAAAGTCTAATAACTGCTGGTAGTTTTCTTGTTTTATTATTTTGTTGCCCTGGATGCCATTATATACTTTATCCTAGAACAGATATCATTTGACTCTGGAGTTTTTGTTCAGCTCTGGCTTTTAAATTATCTAGAAGAAATTTCTATACATATTAAAAAATTTTTTTAAAAGCTGCCTTGCGCATGTTTCCCCATGTGCGTGGTACGTAGGATTATTTTCAGCTCCAGGATTAGTACACAGATGTGTTCATAGAAGGGAGACTCTTGCCTGGACAATCCTTTTATAGCTTTTTATCCTATAAGGAAGGAGAACTGCCTTACGCTAGCCTGCAGGAGTCTCTCTCTTTTTATTATTCAGTTTGCTTAGCTGGTATTCCAGGTTACTGAAATGGGAATTAATGGCACAGCCATAGAAGATAAAGATGCACTCTTCAGAATACACACACAGTCAAACCAGAGTTTGGCTGTAATAAACTATATAGTCTTAAAACTCCTGATTATTGATTCACACACATTGTGGCACATTAATACTTCTTTTAAAATCTTTCCTTCTAGGGTTGGACATGTGTATACATGAAAAGTGCCTGTTCATATATTTGCATGTCTGATGCATTAGAATAATAGCAGTAATAGAGATGATCGATCTCTCACATTTTAGGAATGTTTTGCACTAAAACCTTCTCTGTCATGTCTCTGTCATCCATTCTTGTTTTCACAATATGCAGTGGAGCTCTGGAAATAAGTACAGTGTGCACTGGGCACGCAGGTGCCATGCATACCTGCACAAATATACAGGAGACTTTGATTTTAAAAAGCAGTAAAATGAGCTGTGTGTGTCAATTTTTCTCCCTGTCTAGCTTAGTTTGTTTCCTGGGTTTTGGGACTATAACATTGGTGGACACCACTCTATTTAGACTGAAAAATGTGGGCAACAGTTTTGTTTGTTAAAAAGAGTAACACTCCATTCTTTAGTACAGTTCATAATTGCAGCCTATGTTTCGCTGCCAGAGTATACTATAGCTGGTGATGGTTTTGGATGGCTGTTCTCTTTCATGCTGTATTTGAAGCAATAGGCTCTTTTGCACATGTTCATGTAAGTGAGCAACACTACATGCTGTATCCACATGCCAGGTAATACTCGTAGACTTTATTTTCAAGTTGAGGATGAATTCCATCTAATGCTGAGTGGCTGGAACAGTGATTGTAATGCTGTAGAAGTGTTTCAGAGGGTTGGATTAGCAAGTCCCTAAACATTTTCTGTTCCACTCCAGACCCTCCAACCTTTTTTGTGATAGAGGTAAAGGTTGGACTTGCTTCTGGTGCTCAGCTGACGTGATAGGAGTGGGGGCAGGCTTTTAATATAAATTCTGCTGGTAGGCCTGCTGGTCTTTATACTCAGTTCATTGGCTCAGATCTGAGAGTTGCTCACCTTCCTTTGAGGAGCTACTTCTGAAGGACTTGGGGGTGAGGGCAGTGGGACCTGACGAAGCTTTTCCCCGGTCTAAGGTTTGGTGTTTGCTTTATTTTGGTAATCACCAAGCTGAAATAACACACACATGTTCTTTTAAATAACCTGCACAGAAGAATTTATTATACTTCTCAACTGTGTGAAAGCTTATCAGTTGCCTAGCCACTTCAGATATTGATGAAATCAGATCCGTTGTAACGAGAGCCTAAGAAAATTGTTCATAAGTCACCAGCCAGACCAGTGGAGAATTCTTTTTTAGTTGGTATGTCGTCTTAAATCTCTCTAACGTCTTTTGGGATTAAAATCCTTGACTCTAGATTGCTTTTCCAATCATGCTCCACTTCTATCCATGGAGAAGTTTCCATAGTTGGAAAGTGACCATGTGGACTTCATGATTTCATATACTGTGACTATAAAGCTTTTATGCTTCTAGTGGTTAAAAATGGCAGCAGTAGCTCTTAAACATGGCATAGTTATGTTGCTTTTTTGTAACGGCAGACCTGCCAATAGTGCATCAAAAGCAGTAATTTCCTGTTCACTGAAGCCCTCTATCTCTCTGCTGCTTTAAGCTTTGTGTCCTATAGCTTGTGCCTGTGTGCTAACAAATCTCTATTGTCCAGTGGGTCGAATAGTGGCTGGAACTAAAGAATTGCTGTCTGGTTTCTATTCAAATCCAGGTAGTCAGATATATGAATGGACTTTCTCGAACAGCCATGTGAATAACCTCTGCTCGGCATGAAGGCTACAACCAGGCTATGAAAGCTTAACTAACTCGCAGGTTCGCAGCTGCAATCTTTAGATGCAGAAGGGGGAATGTTTTAAAGTATGGTTTTTAGTACTCCTCTTGACCTTTTACACATGTTGACCATTTTAATTATAGTTTTAGATTTCTGGTGGGAAGAAGGGGATGAAATTATATTTCTTTAACTGGTTCAAATTCTAATTAAAATAACAACCAATCCTGATTTCCGTCTTGAAGAGACTGATATGAAAATGTTGAAGTGTTTTAGTTCACTGTACAGATTAAATCAAAGGTACCTAACTGAGAATTTTTCAATACAAGTAATCAATTAACCATGTCATTGTTAAAAATTGCTGTTACTTTGTACAACATGTATACTAAAAATGAGATAGAGACCGTTTCAGGAAATATTTCATGAAACAGTGAAAACTACAAGCAGAGCGTCACTTGATACATTAATCTTACAGTAAAAGTTATGCACATAGTGGTTTGTACAAAGTATTACAAAATCCAATAAAAGTAACTCAAAATAAAATTAATCTGAGCAGTTTAACCAAAACAAAATCCCTGTACAAATAAATGAATGGTTATATGAGCATAGTCAAGCAGTCACAGAAATCTTGTGGGTTCCTGTCTTGCATTTTTGCCACTTGTTCTGAGAAATATTTCAGATATAAAAATCATAACAACTGTTGCTAAGGGGCTACTGAACACTATTATCTTCTCTGCATGCAAAGGGAAAGTCTCGAGTGTTAGTACTGATCAGAGCGACTGTACTGTGCATGCCCCTGCTGTATCACAGGTAGTATGAAAGAGGGCTCTTTTATGCTTCTTTTTGTCTTAAACTCAGACAGCTTTGTAAGCAGTAGTATGGGGATTACGAGAGTTAGACAAAAGCAGGCGCGACTGGAAAGCGGGGGGAAGGCTTGGGGCATTTCCTGTCACTCAACACATTCCAGCTCACTAAAATTCTCCACATCCTTTCCTCCCTGTTTTTCTAATTGCTGTTACTTAAAATTCATTTTGCTGTGGCAGAGGGTTGGTTTTTAGTGTTGCATTCCTTCAGATTGCACAAAGCACAGCTGGGGAAAATGGCTGGCATTTTGAGAAGCAAGTCACGATTGCACGCATGAGCACCTCACACATCCATTTTTTTTTTTTTTTTTTTTTTTTTTTTCTTGCACAGCAGCTGGCTGACCTGTCTCGTCCACTGCTGGCCTATTGAGCGACCTGGACTGTCTGGTTTTGGCTCATGCCTTTGTCCATGTCTGGCTCAGTTCCTCTCTGTCTATATTTGCCTCCACTAACCCTCCAGGCTACAGAAGTGTTTTGTTACATAAAACTGAAGATTTAACCAGAATAAAAACTTCCAACTCTATAGAATTCTTTAAGTTTTTTCTTTTTATCAATTTCCTCCTGCAATTTTTTTTAAAGCAGACACAGCGTCAGGAAAACCTTTGTGTGTTCCTCGTGCATTCACTGGTTTCATAACTGTCTCCAGCTGTGTTCTATTATGAGATGTATATAAAAAGCTTCTGTTCCGAGAACAAAGGAACACGTGCAGAAATGAGACTGGAAAAAATTCACTGACTGTTTCAATACACAAGCTATTCCCCAGTTCTCCGCAATATCTCTAACAGGTACAGTCTAAAAGAATATTTAAACAAGGATTTAAAAATCTTACCTAGTGCAAGAAACAGAGTAGTCCCAAACTGTTAGCTTAAAGACTTTTTGTAGTTGGATCTTTGTCCAAAAAAAGTTGTAGCTGGTGCAGGCAGGAGAGTAACTTCTCTAGAGCTCAAAATACAATTTGAGAGTGGCAGTAGCACTCCCAGCCAGCATGGGATTCTGTTCTGAGAGGAACGTAGCCATGAGTTTGTCACTAAATATGAGAGGCACAAAAGCAGGCTAGACGAGGTATTGAACTGCTCCAGATTTCCTTGCAGCCCTGTCTGCTCTACTTGAATTGAACTATATATGACCCAGATGATGGACAGAAGCAAATTTAGTCATGTGCAGGGCTGGGACACAGCCTATTTGCTGATCCTTGGCAGTGCAGGGGTTTGTCTTCTGATTGGGCCATACCCTGATCATTGAAATGTGAAGCCCCTACCATTCAGAGGCTGTAATTCAGGAATGGCTGTTGGGGTGTCTAGTTGCCTTCACTTAGAGTGAAGTGCTTTAAAGTTGTCTGTTGCATGTGGTATTGCCTCTCCTGTCTGAGACCCAGCACCTGTCTTCCGCTCGCACCGTAGGCAGAGCTCTGTTGCGATGACATGAACTAGTAGCTTTAAAAGAATTCTGAGCTGTTTGTCTTCTGTGCCTTTGTCCACGATGCTCCTGGGAAACCAAATGAATTAAAGCAGCAGTTGCCGCAGGAATATATTTTGTATGTTCATCACGATATAAAATATCCTGAAACGACAATTTCCTCTTGGCATAAGAAAACGTACGGCAGGTTTTTAACGTGGTGTTGGTTCAGAGAAAATGGATCTGACAATGATCTGACAGCAACTTAATTTATGCTCAGCTATTGATGAAAGTTCGGAAACCTCTGTTTTGTCGTTAGTTTTCCTAGTGTGGGGTTGTCACGCTTATTTTGGTATCCAGTCACGTAGAGCAATGCCAGGAGGGTGCCTAGAAAGCATAGTCCCCAATGAGCTGTGACATCGCCTTTAATCATGTAAGACAGTCAGGGTCTGCTCTCATCAGCTTGTCTAAACTGCTGGACCCAGGATTTATTTCAAGGCTTTCTGGGCCACTGAGAAATTAGGACACGATGCAGCCGTGTTGCTTGTGTCATTTTTGTTTGGCGCATAAAAGTAGCTTTCGGTTATTTAATGGATTTATTTCATATTTATATTTGATGTCATAAGAGTGCCAAATCAAATCTTTCTCCAGGCTGCTGTCAAATCAGGCATTATCCATTGATTGTTGGAGTAATCCTGCACAATTGTTTCAATAAAACTTTTCACGTGAAGATATTTAGTATCCAGGTAATTTTCCATTTCCTCCCTTAAAAGTCCTTGTTGGAAATGCCACCTGTGTCAGACTGAGAGGGGCAGGCGAATGCCTTATTCCTTACATATCAGAGAAAGTGCTTTGAAGCATGGTTTCAAATGAACCCAACTGAATGGATAGAGAGGTTCCAGCAATGACATTATTCCCGAATCATGTCTCTTCAGATTAGTAAAACTGAAAATTGCTGCCACCTCAGTTTCCCCTGAACTCGACCTTGACACTAACGGGAATGTTTGCTGGGATAGAATAATTAGAATAACCGTGTTCCCTTATGCTGAATACGAGACACTTTGTACAATTGCCTGTATTCAAGCAAGAACCATGCAGAGTACCTGTTCAAAGTCACATCAAGTTTACTTGAGCTGTTAAAAAATACTGTGTAGCGGGCTTCTCTTTATTTACTGTCTTGCTTTTAAGGCTTTAGTGCTCACAGGTTGAGGCTGTTGCCCTCCCCACCCACATACCCCTCTCTCATACAGAGTGGACTGAGCAACCAGGAGCGCCCTGCTTGTCATTCTCTGCCCGTCTTGCCTGGCTGAGCTCCAGGGTCCGAGCTGTCTCCCTCAGTACATGGCACTGTGCCTTCCTGTGGCAACACGTGGGGAGGGGGCATATGGGGCCATCGCTCCCCCAGATTTCTGCTGGAGTTCACATCCGATGTGGCCAGCAGCAGCCTTTTGGCACTGTGTGGGAGGGAGGGGAGGAAGAGGGATGATGTGGCCTATATCTTTGCATGGCAAAGCTTAGCACTTTCTGCCTGCAGAGTGCTGAAGAGCAGCTATCCTCTCCCGGCTGCTGCTGGCTACCACATAACCCGTATCCTAAAGCCCTAAGGCTGCACTGTGAACCAGGGCCCAGGGAACCCGGCAGCAGGGTTTTCAGTGGCCGTGAAGCTTAGCAGAGGAGGTTGCTGGGGGGACCGAGGAGGCCCATGGTCCATGGGGGGCTGGACCTGGACCTGGAGCGGGTGGGTACAGAAGGTGCTAACCCCCTGTCCAGGGGGCTGCTGTGGAAATCATTTCTCCCTCCCCC